TAATAATTTTGGCAGTATTAATGGCTGTCTCTTATACACATCTAGATGTGTATAAGAGACAGTGATTATCATTTGCAGTATGTATTTTAATAATTACAGAATGCTTGTTTTGGGAATAAAATCAAATCTACATTTTAATAAAAAAAAAAAAGTGATAATATAATATTCACATTTTATATAATGTTATTAGATGTGACTATCAGAGAATATCTACTCAATCGACAAAAGAAATTATGCTGCAATGCAAACCGGTTCACACCAGCAACGTTGAATACAAAATACCAAGTAGATCTTGCCGATATGTTCACGGATCTGGAAATACTCAAAGAAAATAAGAAGAAGCGAGATTCCAAGCAAACAACTCTGGATGATGTTTTGGGAATCATCAAAACACCTTCATGTAAAGTTCTTATCGATGGTGAGGGTGGTATAGGAAAAACAACCCTTCTTAGGTACTTAGCCTACAAATGGTCTACGGAATCAGATGAAACCTTCAAAGGTAAATTAGTATTCCCTGTCAATATCAGAGATATGGAAGAAGGTGAGGATATCTTAGATGTAATTGTAAAACAAATGAATCTAGAAAATTTCAATTTGAAAACAAATCTCCCAAATAATCCAAATTTAATAAAAAGATTCATAAGGAAGCATGATGACGAAATTGTGTTGTTGTTGGATGGATTAGATGAATTAAGAGTTAGAAATGAAAGTCCAATAAGTCTTTTCAGAAAGGAAGAATTAGAAAACAGCACGGTGATACTCACAACCCGTTCAGAAAATATTGATGAATACATTAAAGAGAGCAGTGTCCATTTAAAGGTGAAGGGGTTCAATGAACACAACATAAATATATATATAAAGAAATACTTTGACTACGTGGAAGAACCTGCATTGGGAGATTCTCTTATTAGGGAGTTGTCACGCTCAGTGAGTATACCTACCTGGAGAAATACACATAATGACGAATATTCTATGTGTAAGAATCCAATGTTGCTTTTCTCAATCTGTATGATGTGGGAAGATAAGCAGAATCTTCCAGCTGATAAAACTGATCTTTTGAAGGAGATTTATCGATCCATCTTGAATCAGTTCATTGAAAAACAAGAACCCAAAGAGCACAAAATCTCTAGATTCGAGGAGACACCAGTTAAGTATGTAAATGCTATGCTTCTGTTAGGGAAATGTATGTATAACAGCTTAAAGAGGAATCAACTCTTAATCAACAAGAAAGATTTTGAAGGAAAACAAGAAATGATTGCGTTAGCAATAAAATTAGGATTTGTGTACAAAGATGCGCCAAATAAGGATAAGTTTGATGATATTTTTGCAGCTCCTCACAAGTTAATAGTAGAGTCATTGGTAGGATTTTACTTGTACAAACTATGTGATACAACAGGGTTGGAAACTGCCAGTTCAGGAGACATGGCCAATATACTTAAGCCATTAGATGATAATGAATGGGAGATGGTAATAGAGAACGAATATTTACACATAGCAATAGTGTGTACTATTGGATTCCTAGGAACTAATGCTGAAAAGATATTGAATCACTTGATAACAAATAGTTTCTCAAAATATCGCTCTCTAATTGCATATTTAGACTTTGTGAAAGAAGGGCACAGATATGTTGTAGTAAAGGCACTTGATGACCACTTGACCAAGAAAGGTTTAAAAATAAAGCGACATATTGGTGACGTTTGTAAATCACTTAAGAGATTTAAACATCATTTAAATCCTGATGTACAGGAGGAAGAGGAACATTTCATACATCTTATGAGAAGAGTTTATGAAGTAGTTCCAAGGGTAAATATACTTGAATATGAACATGGAGATAGAAATGTGGTTGTGAAATCTCTGATTACTCCCCTTAAAAGTTTTTGTAAAAGACTGTCAGCTGAAAAAATGGGCAGAATGTTTGCGCACATTATGCTTGCTGTACCAGACCAACAGGTAATTTTGAAATGTATCCATGAAGTGTGTGCTGATACTTATGTGAAATACCTAACAGCTGAATTTCAGAAACTTAATCTAAAATATGATATTACAGATTATAAATTGTATGCCTCAGTTCTCACTATTCCACCCAGGCCCGTAGCCAGCATGCTTCAAGGGGGGGTTCTGGGCGTGGAGTCCAGGGGTCCGCCAAAGGGCCCCGGGTGGGGTCAAGGGGGGCGCTAAGCCCCTGTGGGGCGAAGCCCCCGAAGCCAGAGCATTTATACGATTTTAAAAGCATGTACATGTCATTTAAATGCATGTTCATGTATATTTAAATACTTCTTACACAATTTTAAAAATAGGATAAGAAGACTACTTTTTCCAATACAGGATTTAGAACGTAAATGTTTATTGTGAAATAAATTTTTTTTTATATTAAAAAGCAATGCTTAACATTTTAATGCTACTATGTAATGTTATCTCTAAAAATATAACTGGGATAAAATTAGCAATACCCACTAGGTGACACTACAAAACACAGACCTTGCACATTGTGAGATCGCTAAATACCAATATTAAAATATGGAGGTATGTAAAAGGTCTTTGCTTAAAAGAGAAATACTGCAAATAATATTTTATTTATTGCAGAAATGAAGAAACAATAGGAACTGACAGCCCTACATTTTACTTTTTTTACCAAAATAACTTAAATGTTAAGTTCCAATAGAAAATATATAATTAGGGCAAGGAAAAATGTTATTATATTTACAAGTTACAGAACCATTTATGTAAATATACCTGCACGGTAATATTGGGGGAAAAAAAAACAGACATAATTATAATGCTACAAATGTACATGTTTAAGAACCAGTGTAAAAAAACTTAGCACAGTGAAAATAAACAATAATTTAAGAGCTGTCTTGGTTTAAATGAGATATATTGAGAAAAATAATAAATATATTATTATGAATAATGTCAGTTAATTCTGACGAAACGTGAAAACATTACCAAGTATATTTCCTTGATAACCTAGCTAGCCTAGGCCCTGGCTAGCTCGATTACAAAATAAATAATAAAATCGTTCGCAAATAAT